TCCTGACCTCGTGATCCACCTGTCTCGGCCTCCCAAAGTGCTGGGATTACAGACTTGAGCCACCGCGCCCGGCCGACTTTTTTTTTTTTTTAAGGCAAGGTCCCATCCTGTCTCCAAGGCTCAAGTACATTAGTGATCATGGCTCACTGCAGCCTCAACTTCCCAGGCCCAGGTGTTCCTCCCACCTCAGCCTCCTGAGTAGCTGGGACTACAGATGTCGCCCTATGGGTGGCTAATTTTTTGTATTTTTAGTAGGCACAGGGTTTGGCCACGTTGCCCAGGCTGGTCTTCCAACTCCTGGTCCCAAGCCAACTGCCCACCTCAACCTCCCAAAGTGCTGGCATTACAAGCACGAGCCACCACACCAGACCACAAGAATTTTTACTATTTATTTATTTATAGAAAGAGTCTCACTCTGTCGTCCAGACTAGAGTGCAGTGCCATGATCCTTGGCTCACCTCCCAGGTTCAAGCTGTTCTCTTGCCTCAGCCTCCTGAGTAGCTGGGGTTACAGGCGCCTGCCACCACGCGTGACTAATTTTTGTATTTTAAGTAGAGATGGGGTTTCACCATGTTGTTGAACTCCTGACCTCAAGTGATCCACCTGTTTCACCCTCCAAAGTACTGGGATTACAGGTGTGAGCCACCGCACCCAACCCAGAAGAATTTTTAGAAAGCCACTTGTCTGGGGGTGGCAAAGGCCACTGTCATTGGGGGTCTGTCAGGGCATAAAAATGAGTAAGGCAAAATCAAAAGCACAACAGCTAATAGAAGGTAGATCGGTACAACTGCAGCGGAAAACTGCATACCACGACTACCCAAGCTGAATGTGTGCATGCTTTGTGACCCAGCAATGGTACTCCTTGCTACATCTCCAACAGATATACATAACATATTGGTACAAGAATGTTCACGGCCGGGCGCGGTGGCTCAAGCCTGTAATCCCAGCACTTTGGGAGGCCGAGGCGGGTGGATCACGAGGTCAGGAGATCGAGACCATCCTGGCTAA